CGTGCTCTGGTCCATGGGGTCACGAAGAGTTGGACATGACTAAAGGACTAAACAACAACAACAAAAAGATTCATTTGAAGTGTGATGATGGACGAGAGCTTTGTTGATACCGTAAACTGTCAGAATGATGAACAAATAGGTCCTAGAAATATCTCTGGAGGCAAAAATAAAACTGAGGCTGTCCTACTTTGGGCGTCTCATGGGAAAGCATGATTCTCTGGAAAAGAGAAAAATGTTGGAAGAAGTTGAAGGTAGCAGAAAAAGAGGAAGACGAAATATGAGATGGATTGACTCCCTGAAGGAACTCCCAGGCCTGAGTTTGGAAGAGCTGAGCAGGGCTGTTGAGGACAAGACATTTTGGAGATTGCTCACTCATAGAATCACTATAAGTTGGGGGCATCTTGATGGCACTTAACACATTTCTTTTGTACTTATTACATGATTTAGATATATAATACAGTATTTCATTTCACAGGATTTTGGCTAATAAATATCAATAAAATCATACTTTTATGAACATCAATCTGTTTTCAAAGAATGATTGAAGGCTTTTGGTTTCCTTGGAACCCCTCTTATTTTGCGATCTAATTGATCAAAATATCCAACTCCAGGGGCATTCTTGTTGAAAATAAGTTGTTAGGAATCATTGTTGTGATCACAAAAACGCATTTGCTTGAGTTGCAAACCCTCCTGCTTACGCTTTCAAGTGTAATATGAGCAGGAACAGATCAATAAACTGGAAATGTCATGTTTTAATTAAAATTGCATTTGATCTCATTAGTTTTGATTATAATGAAAGTGTACGGGTATTAGTACAACCACTTAAGTTATCAAAAAAGAGAGATACAGGACTTGCAATTTCATCTTTGTTTTTACTGTTACAGATTTTATTATCTGGAGAAATAAATTTCCACACGTTAGATTTAGCATATCTTCCATATAGAGCCAGAGCAAGAACAAAATACAGTCTTATAGCTCAGTGGCATGACCCGCATTTTGCATGTAGAAAACCCAAGCTTCAACTCCCTGCATCATGGCTTTCTCTAATTAGGCAAAATGTGCCAGTGAACCCACAGCAGACCCCCGGGGGTGTTGAATTGCAT